CCCCAAAACCCCAAAACCCCAAAACCCCAAAACCCCAAAACCCCAAAACCCCAAAATGTACATAACTCACATAATCTAATAATAAAATAGCATCTTCCAAAAATGTCATCCACTTCAGCTAGTTTCAAAAGTTCCGATATGAGCGAAAAGGTATTTTCCCAAAATCACCTCTAGGTAACAGAAGACTACTATATTGGTTTCTACGAGCGCCAGGTAGCTTCTTTGCCTTCATCAACGCAAAGAATTTCTTCAATACCAAACCATAGCAAATAAAGGTAAGACCTTGGAAATATTACCAGCTTGGAAATATTACCTTCTCTCAAATTTTACAAGCAACTTATTAACAGGTTCTCTTCATTCTAAATAAACAATAAACCCCATTTCGGAAGAGATTTCACCCACTTCCATGAAGTTATTCAAACAAATAAACAAATTGAGCTATTTATAGAAACATCAAATTTCCCTGAAAACAAAAGTTTGAACACTGAAAGTTCAATATGTTGCCCCTCCAGCAGTGAAGAAAGTAAAGAAGCCACCCCCAGTGGGCGTAGGTTTGAGTACAAGGAAAAACAAGCAGGGTCTGAACAATGTAGGCCTTTTTCTTAGAACTTTTAGAGTTAAAATACATTGCGGAGGAAGCTTTGTAAACAAAAGCAGTCCTCCCTATCCCCTAAGTACTCAAAGAATTTAAATATATGCTTTATGAGATTGCAACTTAGTTTTAAACGTCACACCCATTTTGTTAATAGAGCAAGAGATTTGATGGGTTAATGAGGAAATATTAGTAGTAATAAATGTATTTAAAATTATGAAAAATTACTCATAAACCTTGATTGATTAAACAATTACGCTCTGTTATTAATCAAGATAAATTTTTCTGAAACTATTATGATCATAAATTTAAATTAAAAACTAAATTGCAGCTGCATTCCTTTCCTTTCCTGCACCTAAACCTCCCAACTCCTTCTCATATCACAAAATTTAGTAAAAACATCACTCACGCAAACTCAAATTTCATCGCTTCAAAGCAGTGCTAGAGTTCTCTCCTCACCAATCAAAAAGGTGAATATCACTCACTCTCCTCTGTGCAAACCCAATCAAAGCCAATCTATTGCACCTCTTCCTCAATCTCCATGAAGAGCACCTTCCATGCTTCTGCCCATCTCCTACACATTAATCTCCAAAATACTCAGAAATAGGCATAGCACAACCACCCGACATTGCAAAATTAGGTAAGAATTAAGAGACAAAAGCTCTTAAACTTCTAACTAACCAATCCTAAGACAGACCAATAACTTAATGTCTCTCACAAAATTCTAACCAAACTCTCTAGAAGAATCAACCAAAACAGAAGAACCCTTCCAGTCCGGTAAGCCTTCTTCCCCTCTTCTCTTACCCTAACCCTTACACACAGAGGCTCCTTAATAAACCCAGTGCTGTGCCTCAGCTTCAAATCAATAGGCAGTCTTAACGAAAAGATGAGGAATAGCCTTACATTCTCCCATAGCTGCAGGAAGTTAAGAACCAGAGATCTTGGAATGGAGTTCTCCACTAGAACTTTGGAGGAATAAGCTAATGGAGGAGATGGAAGAGAAGTGGGACAAATAATTGGGGATGGATTTGATTGGAAATTAATTGGTATTTAGGGTATTCAATTTGTTTGTGAAGAAGTGGGGTTTTGGGGTTTTGGGGTTTTGGGGTTTTGGGG